ATCATTTAGAGACAACTCTGATCTCTTGATTTTGGCCTCAAGACTTTTATTTCCCCCCTTTGCTTGAGTTGTGAGATTGCAGGTGATTTGCGTGAACAATGTTTGTGTTTGATGGAGGGTGGGTTGCTGAAATTTCCCATTTCCTTCATATTTCTGTTGCTATTTATGCACTGGTTTGAAATGACAGGGTACAGGCAGAGGGAAGGGACTCACTGAAAATTGTGCCGGGTCGTTTGCCACTACAGTCATCTGGTTTAATAACAGCCGAAACATCTGCTTCCTCACCTAGTATGTTAGGGAAGGATTCTGGGTTGGTGTTCCACACTGGCTTCTCAGGTTGTGACTTCAGTCAGTGTCACGCTTGTAAAAACGTGTAGCTGAAGCCTCACTGTTTTCCTTTGGGGTAGGCTTTTTAAATTACAGGTTTCTTGGAATTCTGTTGATCTAAATAGATGGAGACATTTTCCTTTCTATGCTGACCTTCTGTAGCTGGAGGAAATAGCTATGCAACCTCTGGGGGGTGTGTGGAAAAAGAGAATATGTTTTGCTGCTTCAAAGGAGCCAGTTTGAAACACTCCACAGCTCTTCTGAAGGTTTGCGTCGCCGGTCTGAGGTTCCAGGTACTGGTACTTTGGCATCAGGATTTTGTGGCTTAGTGTTGTGGGAGCCGTCAGCCAGCGGTGCTGGGTGGGTTTTGTCTCTGGCTTTCTGTGACTTACTGGAAAATACACAAGCGTTTTTATGGATGAGTGATTCGGTTCTGAAGCGTAATTGGAAGTCGTTGCTTGTTTTTATTGCCGTGTGGTGGAAACTCATTTTCTCAGCCTAGGGTTCAGCATTCATTTGCAAGGCAGGTGAAGAGAATGCTATCAGGAGCCTTTCTGATCTGTCCTTTAGTGGGTAAAACAAAGTGATTAATCTGCCCTCCTTTCTTGAGGTCTGTGCTGGAAGCTGGGGGATTTCCTCCCCTATCACGCCCCTCTTGAAGTCAGGGCTTTGTTCTGGCCACAGGCTCTCTGTTTCATGGACACAGCTCGAGTTCCTTAAACAAGTTTCCATCCTCTGTCTCCACCCGCTTAAACTTCAAACACTTCATAAAGCTTTGGATCACTCTTAGCTTAAATATTTTATTTTATTCTTGCATTCGTAAAGTAGGTCAGTCTTAAGTGTGACATTTTTTGTATAAAACATCTTTTTTCCAGGAGTTCTGTGGTTGTTGGGTAAGGGATACAAAACTTAAGTGTTTGATCATGCTGTTAAAACTAGAATTGAGTTTGAGTGAAATGCTGTTCTGAATTTTGTGAAGAGAATGAATGATTACGTTGGGCCTTACGCCTTCCAGTCACCTTCCTGGGCAACTTCAGATGGAAGAACACTGGCTGTCCTTGGAGATGACAGGGGTATCATTTGGACTAAGGATCTTTTAAGGTCCTTTCCAACCCAAACCATTCTGCCATGTCAGTTGGCAGTGGTTTGGTTGTTAATAAAGGGATATGACAACCATAGGACTATGTTCTTTCAGTTTTTTAATAACAGACTTTTGCCATAGGTAAACCCAGAGCACATCCTGGAGGGATCCGTGTCCTTAAGGAGAAGCAGAGCAATTGCTTTGTTTTGAATGGCTGTCCTTTGAAAATTGTTTATCCTTTGGGGATGTTTCTGAGGCACCCCAATACCAGTTAGACTTTTCCTCCCATTTCAGACCTCTTACGCATCTCAAAGGTACCTGCTGATTCCTTTGTGCTGGGCCTTGGATGCTTTGGGAGAGGATGAGCTCCTGAAGAGAACAGATTGCCTTTTACTACCACGAGCAGGGCTATCCAGAACGGGCAACAGCAGAAAATTATGTTCGTGTTTCCAAAGTGTTTTGCTGCATCTGCTGCATGTAGCTTGGATGGACCTGTGCTCTTCATTTCTTTAACAGAGAAGATACCAGCTTATGCCTTCCAGGAACCCTTTCCAAGCTGGTTACCTCTCCTGCTTGGATTTTAATAACTGCTGCTTTTTAATCTGTGCTGAAGGGGTTTCTTGGATACCATCCAGCCTTCTGGCAGCAAATCCAAGTTCATGAATGTAGATCTAAATTCCTGCCAATCTGTCTGTCATCCAGTTTTCTATTACGTGGCAGCCAATTAAACTGTAGCGCTTCTTTTTTTTTTCTTGAGGAAAACAGGTTTCCAGGAATGTTACCCTCTCCAAACATGACTTTCCTGGGTTTAGACAGTCTGCGGAAATCCCACTTTAGTGCGTTTTAGTTGCTGCGTGAGGAGAGGTGAAATCTAACGTAGTGATCAGTGGTACATCTTTTCTCCCCGAGAAGGAGGAGTGAATTTTTGAAGTCTTTATATATTGCTGAAGCACAGAGGAGGCTTTGGCTAATCTATATCCCGGCGTGCCTTGGATTCATAACTGCTCAATCGCTGGCAGTGTTGTTTGAGTCTCAAGATACTGGGTCTGGCTATGGCAAAGGAACGTTATTGAAATAGCATGTTGGTATTTAAAACAATATTAATACTATATTTGATTCATTAAATACACAAAGGCGAGTTAAAGCGTTTCCATGTGTGCACTGTTAGTTCTGGCGGGAGGTTCTTCAGATGGTTTTATGTGGTTTCAGACAACATTTTAGCACATTCTTAAAATACCCACAAAAGCCTTTATGTAAAATCTCATAAAGGTGAACCACATAAAAATTATTTTTTTCCTGTTTCATGTCATTAGGATCAAAGTACAGTAGGTAAGAATAAATTTCCAAAAACCTTGTTTTGGTCCTTCTCTTAATTAATGTTTCATGCTTGTAGCAAGCTCATAAAGAGGGTAATGGGGAAACTGTCTGAACACACTGTAATATCCTCAGTGGCTGCCAGTTCATTTAGAGTGAATTCACTTATTCTGTGTATGAATTTATTTTTTTTAAGGGAACTTGGTCTGGAAATGGACAATAGCATCTGCTCTCTGGCCTTTGATTCGTGCTGCCCGTTTGTCAAAGGAAGGGTCGCTTAGATTGGAGCTGAGGTTCCCTGCGTGACTGAAATTCCCATTAACCAAAATCCATTTGTGAATTCCCCAGGGGATATAAAAAGGGTGTTTGTCGGTTTGTTAGGTTTAAATTGCCTGCTGGAAGTCTGGCTTTACCATGCCTGTGGAGCAAAGGGCTTTCCTTTTTAAATGGCATGTTATCAGTGCCTCGACAAATGTCATAGGACATTTGTGTGTGTGGGTCGCTGAAACACCGGGGCGAAGCTTGGTGACGAGTAGCAGTAGTCACCCATTAAAAATAAAACGATGTGGTGAGTTAATGCAAAGCCTCATACCCCTCCTGGGGTCAGCTTTGGTTTTGATAGAGGCTCGGATGGATGCAGTTAAAAAGAACTGGGGCTCTTTTGGTGACTCTGCCTTCTTGAAACAACATTCCAGACCGATCTGTAAGCGCAGGGAAGATGTTGAAAGGTGCTGATGTTATTTGCATTCGCTCCCTGGTATCTGTTCTCCTGACTCGTAGGGAAGGATGGGTTAGTGTTCTGGAATCTGCAGTACTTCCAGCTAATACGTGAAGTCCGTAAGTGCGCAGTAAATCAAATCTTAAATGCTATCAACAACTGTCAGGCTAGTGTTCAGAAAGGAGGGGAGCGTGAAGGTGGGAGGGTTCAACAAGTGTTTCGTGTTGGCGATGAGTGATACTTTCCTTTCTCGCAGAAGAGGAGAAACATGCAGTCACTTGCCGATCTACGCGCTCGCCTCGCTCCTGACAGTAAGAGGCAGGAACACGGAATGCTTTAAGCTGCGTGACTCTCAGCTTACTGCTGGGAACTGTCAATCACAGCAGCTCCTCGTGTCTTCGGATGAGGAGCTTTTGCTCTCCTCCAAACACTGCCTTCTCAGGTGTTTTGTCTGCTCTGTGTACGTGCTTGCAGAAGGGCAGGAGGTGCTCAGAAGGGTGTAGAAATGTCTGACTACTAACGTGTCTTGTCACTGATCTGGCTCAGATGAAGTTGCCGCTCCTCCTTTCCTTAGTTCTTCCTAGGAGATGGTGATTCTGTGCAGTGTGAGTTCATCGCCGAGATCCGAGTTGTGCTGTGAATGAGTATTCCCGTTGCCTCGCCTTTCCTTATGGCTGTTTGGGAACTTGAGAATGGAAACAGTTGCTAAAACGCTGTGGGTTAGAGTTTTGGTTTTCCAGAAGCCAGAGTTGTTCCTGTGCCTCTTCCTACCGTGTTGGGTTGTTTACCCTGATTTTAAAGTGCGTCTTTGATCCGACGTGCAAGGAGCCCAGCACTGGTGTTATAAAGGAGTTGGGTTCTGCAGGCGTCACTGCTTTGTTGGTTTTATAACAATGTACTTCTGGCTACCAGCAACCCGAGAGTCAGGTAATGTAGCCTGCTCTTTTGTATGCCCTGTCTGAAGCTGGAGGAATACGTACACCTCGATAGCATCCCTTCCTTTCCTAAGAACCTTGGTTTCAGTTCAGCTCCATTTACAATAAGTCAGTAACTCTGCTTCACACAAGCTTTTGAGACAGCAGCATAAAGCTACTTACTTGCTGGCTTTTGTCTTAATTAGCGGACTTAGTTTTAATGAACTTCCAGCCTTTCCCAATAGCGAGAGAGAAGGTAAAAAAAAAAGACATGACCAAACTATAAAATAAAGCCTTACTCTCAGCCTGCTTTGTAGCTTGTGCTTTTACCAGCTGTTGCAGTTAATTGGAATCAGAGGAATTGTTTGCTCAAGTACTGTAGAAATCTGTAGCTAGTTCTGTTTCTCACTAGACTTTTATTCTCCTTCAGAGAAGTGTTCAGTGTTTCACAATTAAAGTCTCCGCATTATTAAATGGTTTACACTGCTGTGTTTCTAGGTGTGTAACTAGTGAGTGCGTGCCGTCTGAAAAGAAAAAAAGATCTGTGCTAGGATATAGAGATTCTGCTTATTTAAGATTATTATTGCTACCCGACTGGCTCGGATCCCGCTTACCTTTAACATGCCTATTGGATTGCCTCCTGCAGGTATTTTGAAGGTGGAGTCTCGTCTGTCTACCTCTGGGACCTGGATCATGGTTTTGCTGGGGTGATCCTCATTAAGAAAGCTGGAGATGGATCAAAGAAGATTAAGGGATGCTGGGATTCCATCCACGTGGTGGAGGTTCAGGTACAGCCTCTGGGGCAGCTGATATTCCAAAGTGAAAACAAAACCCAGTTAATTCCAGACAATTAACGAGCGCAGGTGTCCCACTGAACAATGCAACATTGTGTTAGGGGCTGTAAACTTCTTTCCCCTCTTAATTTCTGCAGATTCCCTGAAGCAATTTGGATAGAGATAAGTCAGGGCTGTAATCAAAAAGAATCCCAGAAGAATTGAAAGTATGTTACTGTCTGTGCCTGTGATCCTGAGTATTTTTTTTAAACATAAAGGTCTGCAGATAAATTTCACTAATTTAGGTAATAAAAGCAAGGTAATAGGAGGTTAAATTGCTCTGACTAGGTTTGCTTTGGAAAACTAGGGGAGTGTGTGCTCTTACAATTGTTTTTAAGAATCAGACTGTGCTGTGGGAGTGGAGTTAGGCATTTGTCCTGTTGCTCGTGGGGTCTTCAGGGCCAGCCAACGTTGAGTTTTTGGAGGGACTTTAATCTCCTGTCTCTATCCTTTCTATTATCCTTCCACTTCTAGGAGAAATCCAGCGGCCGTACTGCTCATTACAAGCTGACCTCCACAGTGATGCTGTGGCTGCAGACTAACAAAACCGGTTCTGGTACCATGAACCTCGGCGGGAGCCTTACCAGACAGGTAGGTCTGGACGTGGCACGAGCGTACGTTGCGGGCCCAAGGCATGCCTTTCCTTATTTACACACCCAGTAGCCCCAGTCGGGAACAAAAAGTTGATTTTGTGAGGTGTTGTATAAACATCTCTCCTCCTGCTGCGTGTGCAGCCCAGTGAAGCAGTTAATGCCGACGTGTGTAATTACCAGGAAGCTCCTTGAACCCTGCCTGACGGCAGTGCAGCTTCCAATTAAAAATATAAAACCTTCAGTAGGAGTTTAGACTTGCTTTTAAGTCTTAGTTTTTCTTTTGGTATTCCTAAATATTTATACTTCCACATGTGTTACCCCGACAGATGTTCATATCTGGAAGATTTGCCCACTTTCTTCCTGGAAGAGTCCAATAGAATTATAAAAATACAAGGTGACCTCTTTCGCTATGTCTCTTTTTTAAAAGCCAGCGAGGCCTGTGAACAAACGTGTGTTTTGCGTTGACTAGGGTGGCTGAGAGGCCACTTGGTCCCTGGCTGGGCTTGACTCGGCTGGCTGAAGGCGCCCCTGCCCCAGCCACCTGCCAAAGGTTGCTGTCTCCCTGCTCCGTGCTGCTGCTGAGTTGCGGTTCCTGAAGATCTGGGCTGTGGAAGTCAGTGACTCGAGCAGAGTAATAAACTCTGAAGGACAGGAGGCATATTGTACGGTCGGGAGTGAGTAGAGATTGGCAGTAGCCGACACTCCTTTATGAGGCTTCCCGGGGCGGCCTGTTGCCGTCGATACAAAGGACAATGCAGACTCTGTTAAAGAGTTTGTGTTTTTGTACAGGTTTGAGCCAGGCGAAGGGAAGGAGGATCTGTGATTGCAGAGAGGAACTGAACTGGGTTAGTTTTGCAGTCGCAGAAGCTTGCCCTAGACCTAGGTGATTTTTCTTTCCGTGTTGTTGATTTACAGAAGAAGCTGATGGAAAAGCCGGGCGGGGGGAAGAAAAAAGCACCTGGAGACGGTTTTGAGCATTGCGTACTCTTTTAAAACGTTTGCAGTAATTACGCCCCAGTTATGGTGACCCGGACAAATATTGAATCACAGGCCTTCCCAAAACTTTAAATCATCGCTGTGAAGTGGAGGCCAAGGGCTTGACTCTGGCCGTGGCCTTATGGTGCGCGAGAGCTGTGCCAAGGAAAACAAGCGTCTGTTGAGAACGGGTGTCCTCAGTACACCTTGGCCTGAACTGCTGGGCCTTGTTTAGTTTGACTTTCACTCTCTAAGCTGTAGTGGGGAGATTCATGCTTCTGTCATCATTTTAACAGCAGATCATTTAATTCATATGTGATGCATTAAAGCAGGGGCCTGCTTCCAATGTAAGTAACCATAAAAAAGCCACTGGGGTAATGATGCACTGCTGCTGCACAAACAATGGAAACTTGACTTTCAGAATTTAGCTTTGGGCCGGAGATTTTCTGTTTGCAGATGCCGTAGTAGGCTTAGTGGCACAGGCTTCATCAGAATCCGTGGCAGCGAGCGAAAATCTTCCTGCTGCCTCCAGGTATGCTGTGTGAGGAGGAGCTGTTTGTCCTGAGCCATTTATGTAGCCGTAGCTGGACTAAACTCCTGAGTGCAAGGCTTTTACTTCGTTGTAAATCCAGTTTGCCACATCACCTAAGGACAGCAGGTTTTATTTTTGGTAGGCTCTTTATATAGTCTGCAGCAAACTTAGGCACCAAAAGTAGGTTTTAGTCATCTCGAATGGCATGTTACAGTTCTGCCTTGACGGTACCGGTAATCCAGTGTGCTAACCATAATTCTGAAATTTCGTCCATGCTGAATGGTACGTGGTTTTGGTCAACATTTCAGCTATTTGACCACCTTTGATCCTAAAATGTGAATAGCAGATGGCCTTGTGCTTCAGTGGAAGCTTTTGAAGTGTTCACAAGCTTTGTAATATCCTGGCTTATAAGCTGATGGCAGAGAGAACCTTTCAGTGCTTTGAAAGGGAAGTCTGCTGAGAGCCATTGCTTTGAAACCAGTTTTGCTTCGTAGCTGAAATCGGGTATTTTTCAAGTGATGACTGGAATGATTAACTTGCTGGGCAGGAGGACGCGCAAAGGAACAGCTCATGTAATGCCTCCTAATTCACCACCTCTGGCAGCCGCCGGGAGCTGGGCATGTCTCGCACTGAAATGCTGGGGGGAGCATTCCCAACTTCACATGGAAACAAGGGCTCAGTAATTCCCCTTCCTCGTGCCTGCAGGTGACACCGGGTGCGAGTAGGGAGGCAGTCCTGTCTGTTCTTCTGTGGTAGAGCTGAGCTTGGGTCTAGAATGAGAGTCTGGTTCTCTGGTGACATTGCCTGCTGGTGAAATACTGTTGCCCTGCATCAGACACAAACCTGAGGGGGAAGGTTGTTGCCTTTGTCAAGACCATTTGGAAAAACTTGGCTTTGCATTTTTCGAATAGCCCCAGACTCTTGTTACTACAAGGCTCCCACTTAGGCCGTTGCTAAACGTTGCATCCAGTTTGATTAGGTTTTTTGCACCGAGTGACCAGGGGTTTTTGTGTCTTGCGCCAAGACACCGCATATTTGGGTACCCTTACACCTGGCTTGGGGACACGTGATGTTACGCCTTGGGGAGATGCTGCTTGGAGGCTCTGTCCCTATGCTATGTCTCCTTCAGTGTCATACACTGAGAATTGATGTCTCTCTTCCAATTCATGGAGCTGCTGAATTCCAGTGGCTGTCCCAATGGAGTTTCTCACGCGCTACAACAGGACTTGTCTCTGTTTACACGGGGAAAGGAATGGTACAAGCATTTTGCATTTGTAAATGGACAGAATAAGGAAAGAGAGGGAGAGACATGGTAGAGAGAGGACTCTGCCTGTTTTGGAAAGTTGAAGATCTCCTTTGTGTAGCTTTAATTTACCTGGTGGTTTTCAAAATGAGAACTTCAGGCTTTTTCTTATTAAAATTTCTTATTATAACTAAATATAATTAAATTTCTTACTATAATTATGGAAGTTTTCTCTTTAAAAGTTGGAATATAGACTGATTTGAATAAAATGGCATGGGATGTGTTCCGAACGGAGTTTACGATTTCGGTTTGGTTTCAAGATTCTGTCCTGATCCAGTAGAGAAATGTGTGTATATACACACCCAAGTATGCAACGCAGAAACAAACGTGTAGCGATGCGTATTTCTTTACATGATTTATGTAGGTGCATAACTGATGTATATATGTGCATCTATCAGCTTTTATCTTGCGAGGACGAGAGAAGTTCTTAGCTCTGTGCGTGTAGGATCCACAGATCATAGTCTTGGCCCGAAAACTTGGGGAGCATTAAAACTTCAGTGACCTCTTCACATCGGACGCTTCGTTAGGTGCTCGTCGAAGCAGCCCTTTTGTGTGGAAGAGCACTTGTCTCTTTGCCTAGTGAAGATCAGCACAAAATCTTTAGCAAGATAGTTGTTACACGTAGATACCGACACCGTGTGTGTGGCCGTCTCTGTTTTGACTCCCAAGGACATTAGAGAAAAACCTTTTTGGAATTGGAAGGAGAAAACTGATTATTTTTCATGTTTTATTCCCTTGCTCTGGTCCTACCCCAAAAGGCATGTGATGTCAGACAGACACCTTTGATTTTTACAGTTTCCTAAAGGAGGGTGCTCTTCCAGGCAGTCTGTCCTGAAAACGAGCCTGGATACGCAGCTCACGAGCTTGGAGTTGAAGCTCTGCCGGCCACGATGGAGGGAGTAGCTCTCGGTTCGTGTCCGACGTTGGCAGCCCATACAAGGCCTGAGGCTGGAATTTGGGGAGGGGAAGAGCAATTGGCATGTTATATGCCATCTGCCTTGACGAGGGGCCGCAGGCTGGAGTACTCGACGTCTGAGAGGAAAGGGCAGGATGCGTTACCTTCAGTTTACAACAAAGGGAGCGATGCTTGCAGGGAAATGAAAAACGCCAGCAGGTTTTCAATTACCTTGCACGTTCTCCAGTGACTGCAGGTAACTCCCGCCCCCCTCCTGATTCAAGCCAGATGCTTGACAGATGATTTTCTCCCTGACAGACGTTAGGGTCCTGTCCTCTTTGTGTACGTTGGAATTACTTGCGTCGTTTGCCACGGCGCTGTGCTGCTTTGGCTGAGCTTTGAGGTTTCATTAGGCTGCACTTTTATTTAAGGTAAGAGTAGCTGTACGATCCTGTTTCATTTTATGCAAAGGAGCCGTAGCCTTCCCGTTTTCTGGCAGATGGTCAAACCTGCACTTTGTTGGACAGATTTCTGGAGCCCCCTCCTTAAAAGCAAGACTAACAGGTGCCTTTTGGAGATCTCCCTGTGCACAAAGAACCTGTGTGTGTTTCCTGAGCCGGGGTGAACGCTGTGGGGAAGTGCGAGCTTGCTGAAAAAGGATTTGGCCCAAAACCTATAGTTTATTTACATACGGAGGTGTGGGAAGGGGAGGATATAAAGTTGTAGGGGAAGTGAAGCCTGGGATTTCAGATTAAAGCAGCACAGATATGCCTTGATTTTCATGCTCAAAAAACTCTCCGCAAAGGTGGAATGTTTTGCAGAGCTGGACGAAGGCTGATCTGCTGCAAACTGAGCTCTCCCTGCGTTCAGGAGGATGTGTCCTGTGATCCATTACCTCTCCATAAAACACCAGCACAGACAGTCGGCCGTTTATCATAATAGGTAGATCCTCCGAGGCTTGTGCTCTGCAATTAGGAGAGTCATCTATTTTCATCAAGTTAAGCTTTCATGCAAAGGCCTATCCCACCGACTTCCAGATGTTGTAGCATTGAGTGGGGCGTTGGGGAGTGTTTTTCCACCAGAACAACCTTCCAAGTTGTAGCTATCGCGATCCGTAAGCTCCCCGGCAGCAGTTGTCCAGCTTCCTGGAGACACTGTCTCTTTAATTGCTAACCAAGTAGGATTTTGGGGTGCAGAGGCTAGCAGAGACGTGCCGAACAGTACTTATCCGAGAAATGATTTCTGCTTCACATGAATGTAGGGATTTTACAGGGGTTCAGTTATATAATAGCTGGTTTAGAAAAAGAGGGAGTGGAAGAGTCGAGCACATCCGGACGAGTGGCGTGTAGAGCTGCTGTAGCATCACCAGATCTGCTCGTGATTCTGAACGTACAGCTTGGTAAAGGACATGGGATGGTTTTGGTTACACTGGTTAAATACACATGAAGGCCGTGAAAGGATGAGGTAAGCTCTCAGCTGAGTTCCCCAAAGCTGCAAGCTCCGTAGAGCTCACAACCTTCATTTATCTAGCTATGGTTGGAAATAAGCACTGGGGAGAGCGGCCAAATTTTGCCTCACCGATAGCCAAATAATTCCATAGATTTTCCACCTGGAGACTTCAGTCTGCCTGCGGCTTGGGAGCCTTTGGCTCGCAGTGCCCTGTTTGTGTTTCATTAAAGAGATTTTCCTGTCGCTCCGTGGCCAGAGCAGCTGTGGATGTTGTTGTCAGTTCTTCAGAGCAAAATGGTGCATGAGTTTCCTTCTTATCTTTCTAGTATTTTTAAAGGCTTTCCTGATGAACCAAAGTGTTTTTCTAACTTAACATGTCTCTCTTCATATTAACTCTTCCTCCAAATAACGTTTACAGAAAGCCCAAACAGCAGCTGCTCTATTCCGTGCAGGAAACATCCAAAGTGACCAGCCAGCGATCGAGAGCTTAATATACCCTGAAGAGCCGAGTTTCCCTCTGAGTCAGACTCGCAGCAGATGGCTGGGGAAATGAGGCAGGGAAGCCAAACGGCGTATCTCGAGCGGGAGAGGACGACTGAGCTGTGCACATTGGGCTTGGCTCGTTCTGGAGCCTTAGGTTTTTGGCTGAGCTCGACGGCAGATGGGGAGTGACAGCGGGAAGATGAGCTGCTTGTTAACATCAACTCACAGAATGGAATTTCCCCTCGGAGCAACTCAGCCCCTTTATTTAAGCAGCTCTAGGCTTTCTGCTTAGGTCCGTGCAGCTACAGCCACCGGAAGGAACCTTTAAAAATCCCAACAACTCCGCTGTTTGTATAACATGGCTGCTTACTGACTCTGAACTCCATTAAAACAGCCTCTCATAACATCTGGGCTTCTATAGCATATAAAAATGTTTTCCTTCTGGCAGCAGTTTTTATGGAGATGTAATAATATACGTTTTGCCAAAAAAAAAAAGCCTAATTCTATTTTCAGGCTGTGGTTCTTACCAGTGAGCTCGGCCTCTCCAGGTGCAGAGGAGGCGCAGTGGGGAGCCCGCGGAAGTAAACGACCCGCTGCCAACTCCCCGGCTGCCCCAGATTTGGCCAATTTGCTGATAGTTCCCAAACTCACCGTAACATCTACATGTGTGTTAGCGTAGTTCAGACTTGCATCCTCCCTCTGCTGCGCCTGGATCTGTTCTCCGGGCAGCGTGTCTCCGTGACATGTGAGCAATCTGCCTGCCATCTAAGGGAAAAATGAAACGCCCTTGTTCTCCTTCTCCCCCTCTTCTAGGTTATCTTTTGCCTTCAGGGTTCCAAATAAATTACATGCTTCCCCAAGCCTGTTAGAGACTTGGCTTATTAGAAGAAACCTGTAGCTGGCTGAGATTTTTAAACTCTACCCTGAGGGAGGGATATGAACAGATGGATAAGAGAATTCAGTGGGATTAGTAAAACCCTTTGAAGACTGTTCTTCCCACTACATTTTTCTCCCAGTTTTGTTTTTATGCCGTCTCAGCACATCTTGTATCAGTTGAGGTTCCTGGGACCGATGTTCGTTGTTCAGCAGCTAGTCTGTGTGTTTTCATCTCCGGAACTGGGGAAGATGGTCTTCTTCCTCGCGCAGATCCTGGTCAGCTGTGGCCTCTGGATGAACATGACTTTGGGCAAAGTCAGATGAAATAAAGCAAGTACTACTCTCTGTAGTACCAGCTCCCAATTTTTGATCTTGGGGATGAAAAATCTCCCCTAGTTCGCTTACCCGTCTCTTGTTTAGATACTGTACTAAGAATGTGGTACCATTTCCCATGTAAGTTGATCCAGCTCTGAATTTCTGCTGCAAAAGGCGGTCTGGTGCTTCCCCCTGTACTTGCTGCTTTGTACTTCCTTCCTCTGGTAGTTAGGTAAACGTTGGTTCAGGTTTTTGGTCTAAAAAGAACTACAAAATGCTAAATTTCTCTTTTCGTATTATTGCAGTGGTTCGAATCCTCACCGGCCTTGCAGGTAGTTGAGTTCTTGTATTCTCTGCACCTTCCCTCTCTACTGGAAGGTAAATAACACCTCAGGTGTCTTGCCAGGAGATCCTGAGAGCGGAGAATGTGGTGGGAAGTAGCATTTGAGATGTAGATTAAGCGAAACAGCTGGTTTTGCAGGGATAATTCCCAGCTGCTGTGCTGACAGCACCATCCTCGTGTGCATCCCATCAACAACAACCTTGTTTTCATATCCACATGCTGTGCTTCTGTGCTTCTAGTTGCGTTACGTGCTCGCTACCGTTCGTCTCCTGCAGCCCCTTGGTAGGTAGGGAGCGACGGGTTTGTAGCGCCTGTCTGCACCGGGGATCTACAGCGGGGTTTTGTTTTGATTCATGGTTTTTATTACGCTACGCTGCTGTTAACAACATGTGAGCCTTTGTCAAGCTCTGGGAACTTCTCGGTAGGTTACCACTCCGTTTGCACGTTGAAAGAAGCGTTTACTCCAGGATTTTGAAACTCGCTTCTTCCATCCCTTTTGGTAAGGAAAGCTATCCTGCATCTACCCTCAGATTTCTGCGTTACCAAAGGACTTTCTTTCCTTTCTAGATGGAGAAAGACGAGACTGTGAGTGACTCCTCTCCACACATAGCCAATATCGGACGCTTGGTAGAGGTACGTGCTGTGAATCCACCGCAGCTGAGCCCGCTGCGGGTTCTACTGCCCGTATTTGATCCTGAGCCGAAGAGTTTTGTTGCTTTTGTCTTTACAAACAAGTTATTTATTCCTGTTGTATCAGATCTAGTCGTGCAAATATTTCTCAGTGGTTGGCAGCTCAGCGTTCCTCCTAGCGCAACTTCCAACTGTTTGTAGGTACAAAGCCACCACTCTGCCCTTTGACTCCTGCTCGTTACAGCGATAACCTTCCTGGAGAATAAGCACCCCTTTCCTGAGAGCCAGTTAACAGTTTCCCACCCCCTGTTTGTTTCTACGGTCACTTTTGAGCAGGATTATTTCAAGTCAGGTTGTGTTATACAGACCTGTCCCTTCAACTCTTAAGTTCAGTGTGTATCAAGTGCTTACTAAATCCACTAGAACTGGTCGTACCGCAGCTGCCAGTCGTGTCTGCTCAGTGCGATGGGTGAAGAAGGCGACTGTGTTAGCTGCTCAGAGGCTCTGGGGCAACAGTTGCTGTCTCCACGTGCTGTCCTGTACGAATGGGCTCTCGATTTCCTCAATCTTCATACCCACTTTGACAAGAGAGGAGGAAATTCTCAACTAAAATAGATTATAATGCTTTTTTTAAAGGAACTGGGAAATGAAAGCAAGGCAGGGTCTTTCTTCATCCCTTCTCTTAAGTTTTTGGCTTGAGTAAAAGCGACCTAATGAAAAAATGCTGCTTATTTCCAAGATCTTTCTCTGTGCAGTTTTAATGAACGACTTGCCAGCTCAGAAATTCAAGGGAACCCATAAGCACAAAACCACTGACCTGTTGATTAGGCCGAACGACCCACTGGCACTTGTAGTCCCTTCCGTGCCAGGAAATTGCAGAGCAAAGTCGAGGTGAAACGCACTTTCTGCAGCTGAATGCAGAAAAATGGATAGCTGGAGAGCAGCTGCCCTCTTGTGGTCCCAGAACTCAGCCTGGAGTAGTTAAGTGGGAGGAGAGGACAGGAATAGAGCTAAGCCTTTATTTCTTTGCTAAGAGCAGAGAGAGGGTCCTGCTGCCTTCTGTGAGAATGTACATAGTGGGACAACACTGGGTTGAGCCGCGCTGCGGCAAGCGTCGTGCGCCAAGGTGAACAGATGGGATGGACGGCTAAGTGCACCGTTCCCCAGAACAACATGCTGGGTTGGGCTGCGCTGCGGCAAGTGTTGTGCATCAAGGTGAACAGATGGGATGCATGGCTAAGTGCACCGTTCCCCAGAACAGCCAACGTGGCTAAAGGTCTGGTTTCTTACCTCTTTTTTTCCTAGGACATGGAAAACAAAATCAGAAGTACACTGAATGAGATTTATTTTGGGAAAACAAAGGACATCGTTAATGGGCTGAGGTAAGGTGACTGTTCCCTTCCCTGCCGTGCCTGTTTGAGCTGCTGTAGTTTGCTGGAACTCCCCCTTTCCCACACAAAGTCTTTTCACATCCCTAATTGTTCACCTCCCTGTGCCTTGGAAACATTATTTGCTGTGTGGACTTCAGGGAACGTTTCTACCTTGTAACTATAGAAATTTGAAGCTGTGTTTTAATCACTTGTTCCCCCACCAGGAAGAAAACAGCCCAATTAGCAACACTTGTCTTTCAGAATGATTTTTAATTGGGAGTTTTATTCTTCACAGTCCTGAGAATTGTACTTAAATTCTGACTTCTCTTTCTGCTGTTCTTCAAAACAGTCAGTTGGCCCCAGAATTAAGCCCAGGCGTTAATGGTTTGTGGTATTTAGACTGTGTTTTACATTCTGTCGTTCTCTCAACGCCGCTGGTCAAAAGACAGTGCGCTAGAACAGGTTAAGTGAATAAACCCCCTGTGCCTTTCTGTGGGGAAACTGTACTGTGCTTTTCAACCCCTGCTCCCTTCTGGGCTGGAATTTTATGTAGAAATCCCAAGCTGGTGGTTCTCGTGCTCATAGAGGAAAGGGCAGACCCGTGATGCCAAATCATTTCACTTCAGACTGCAGAGAGACATCCCAGCACGGTGTGATAATGTTGAGTAAACACGTGGCACAAATAAATACGCTGCTGTTCTCTCACAGACCGAAATGGGAAAGAAGATAGAATAATGGTGCTAATTAAATACGTGGGCTGCCTTCTCAACAGCGTGGGCAGAGGGAGGCGGTAGGATCTGACAAAGCAGATGTTCTGGGAGTTTTTTCCCACACCCCAGCTTTCGTAACAGGCCTCTACTTTCATTTGTGGTGTGCAGGGCTTTAGCCAGGAAGCATTTATTATCACTGGAAGGAAATAGGTAATAGAGGCTTTTTCCTTGTGAACATTGCCTTGAGCTTTTGTCATTGAATCTATTCCCTCTGCCTCCCCATCGCTCAGTTTGAGCCACGGTACTTTGTGCGTCGCTGAGACGATCTGCTCAGGACTGGTAACACAGCGCGCCCGCCTCTGCCTTCCCCTCTAGCCTCTTCCCTCTTCCCACCTGTGTATTTACACTTACTCTTCTGAGCGTGCTCCTGGCCGTCTCCGGAATACCAGCTCTGTGTTACTGCGTTCTTCTGACTGCTCTTTTCCCTGTTTACCCCCCTCGTTTCTAAACTGCTCTCTGTAGATCTATTGATGCTATCCCCGACAACCAAAAGTATAAGCAGTTGCAGAGGGAGCTTTCTCAAGTGTTGACCCAGCGCCAGATCTACATCCAGCCTGATAATTAAACCAATCCAGGTACCCCTGCCTGTGAGGTGTGACAACCAGCACTAAACCAGGACTCACCCAGCCCAGACCTCTGCATGATAACCGAGGCCAGAACTAACCCCTAACTCCCGCAGACTGATAAACGACGTCTGAGCCGTGTTTCACCCAAGGGTTATTTCTTAATACGGCCGACTAAACGCTGTGATTTTTTAATTTTCAACGTTACTCCACCCCTTCCCCCCCGTGTGAAGTGTCACGCTCCGCAGTGTGGCAGGACTTACCACTTGGCGCTCTAGCTTGGGGGCAAGGTCGGAGCATGTGGTCACCTACCCAAAGTGGGGTTAGCTTGGGCTGGTTTGAGCCAGAAGCCCCGAGGCTCTGGCCCGTGCACACCAGCAGTGTTTTGTACAGCCGTGGCACACAGCTTCCGTGAGGAAACTCCCCGTAATCTTAGCGTCTGCCCTGTGGGTAATGAAATCTTGGAAGTCTTGCAGTTGTGAAACCCCAAACCGACTGGTGCTTCCCATGACTTCTGAGGACACGTGAGCTCACCCCACGTGCACACCCCCTTTGCCTGGTGTATCCTGAATTTCCTTGGAGCTTGAAATCCAGTCCCAGCTCCACAGAAGGAATCATAGAATGGTTTGGGTTGGAAGGAACCTTAAAGACCATCTAGTTCCAACCCCCCTGCCGTGGGCAGGGACACCTTCCACTAGACCAGGTTGCTCAAAACCACATCCAGCCTGGCCTTGAAGACATCCAGGGATGAGGCATCCCTGGATTTCTAGCTTCCCTTGGCGTGTGCTCCGCACAGCTCTCGGGCTCATCCGTACGCTCTTGCTTGCTCTGCGGCTCTGAGCGCCTGGGACGCGCGGCAGCGACTAACCCCAAGCCAGCATAACTCCCGCTCGTAATGGGTTACAGATGTTGTCTCAAACACGTTAAGCTGAGGAGGGGGAAAACGCGCTGTCTGTTGATAACGGCCCAGAACCACTTCTTTAGCCTGTGACAGACGCAAACAGAAAATGCCTATGTTTTTATTAAAGCGGCGGAATTCTCCAGAGACAAGAGACTGGAAATACTGTTATAACCGTGTCAGGAAAAGAACTGACACACAGAGCAGCCTCATTTACAGGAGACAGCGTCCAGGCAAAAGGTAGCTTGGAGCACTGAAAAAGGGTGTGAAATAGGGTTTATGTGGGGAGAGATCCTTCCAAACTGGATCCTAACCACTTCCCTGCGGTAGCAACTCCCAAGAAGTCTAGCAGGGTTATTCTATCAGTGACGGTATTTAAGAGGGCTTTTAAAAAAAGTGGAAATTTCTTACTGTGCCGCTGAAAGTGGAGGTTCCTCCGCAGCTGTCTCACAGGGCGGTGAGCCAAGATGACTCCTAAAAGATGGGGCTTCTCTTCCATAATCAAACTTTTAGCAGAAGGGAACCCCTGCCGTCACCCTTCCGACAGCATCTCTGTTCTTTGGCCGCTTTGATTCACGGATTGCTCTAGGTAAGGCACAAACTGGAGAAGCAAATTGGAGAGCAGGAATTCGCTTTTCCCACTGGTGAACAGGCTGGAGGGAAGTTTTGAGGCGGCTGCTCGACCCTGGGTGAACAGTCTGCAAACTGGGTTCTGGAGCTCCCCCCGCCCAGCCCTTTTCTCGTTGGTGGGTGAGGCTGGACTTTCTCTGCCTGCCCTTCGCGGCCGTTCGGACAGCGCTAACACCCCTTCGCTGGGGCACGCCGGGCTTCTTCCTGTCACCTTCCCATAAAGATTGGGAACCTCCCTCCAGCAGCTGGAGGCTGAGCGGAGCTTCTGGGGAAGCGTGGTGCCCTCCTTGCTCTAGGGTGAATTCTGCTTCGGTAGGCTCACCGAGGTGTTCGTTCGCCGTCTGCTTTCCGCGTTGAAACAGGCCAGCTGAGTGTGTTCCCTCTAAGCCTGGGTTGAGGTGCTTCTCCTTCCGCCGACTCCCGGGCCGGAACGCTTCCAAACGCATCGCCTCTCACTTGCGTTCCCTTCTTCCCCGCAGGTCTGTGCAGACTTTTGCGGACAAATCAAAACAAGAAGCTCTTAAAAACGACCTGGTGGAGGCTTTGAAGAGAAAGCAGCAAAGTTAAAATCCTCTCCATGCTAACAAGACATGCCATGCACTCGTTAGATTCCTTTCGTAGAAAACTCATCCCCCCCTTCCCCCCCTTGCCCTTTTCTGTTACATCACGTCACGATTTGCATTCAGTACTACCCACGCAGCGCCATCTCCTCCCCATGAATAAAGCTGTACAAACTTTTTCAGTCTCTGAGGCCTACTTTGCACCACGTTTTACTATCGAGACCTTTCTGTAGGAGTCCATGTGTTCTTTTTTCTTTCCTCCCCTCTCCCACCCTCCCCCCATTTATACGCATAAACACGGATCATTGTTTGTCTTTCTCCTCCCCACCCCCCTCCTGCCTTTTGTTACATTGGTGTAAAAAATGTAAAACAAAAATTTATTAAATACTGTGGTGTGTGAAAGAGGAAGAACTGGAAGAAAAAAAAAACAAATTAATAAATCT